TGTCCATGGGACGTAACGTAGCTAGTTGGTTGTACATAGCGAAGAAGGCGAAGCTAGCGACCAAAATCAATAAGCGCGAGAAGAGTGTTGAACACTTCCGCTTTGGGTGTGTGAATGTTGAAGATGTTGCAGTTGGCTCGTGAATTCCAGGTGGCGATCGCGTTCTATAGACCTCGGTCTTCATGGCTGTAAATAGATGCAGAGACCGCCTGCACCATCCGCTGGCAAACGCCCGACGCACGCTAAGTTCGCGCGTCAATGTCGCGTCCAAGGAGTCAACAGCGTGACATTTGATGGGAAATGTGTACAAAGCGGTGTCGAGTCATTCAAAAAGCACAGTAATAGCGCGCCGACGTCAACGCCGCCCGGGCGCGCTGTGAGTTGGCGTACCTCTGTCCCCGCAATACCCGGATCCCCAGGCACGTACTCCAACCCAGCAATCCTGGACTTCGGCTCTTCTTCCATCACCATCGTTCAGTCAAATGTCAACTTTTCTGTACGTTCACGAATATATGGATCACAAATCGCGAGATGCCGATCATCACGTGTGCTCATGCACGTCGCAGCCGGGGATGTTCTTAGCTCGAATTAGGCCTGTGGCTGAGTGTGACCATCCACCGCCCTGAAGGCAGTACGACCGCGGACTGAAGGAGAGGAGCACTCTACTTGAGAATGGCTTTCGACGACCTACCCGATCCCCTCTATCGACCTTGATACGCCCTCCATCCCATCTCCGATCAAACGAATATCCGCCCTCGTACTCCAACTACCGCCTGCGGACGAAGAGTCGTCGCAGCCAGAGCATGTAGCCAACATGGGTCGCTCACCATCACGATCCAGCGATGGAGCTGATTCAGCACAAAATGCGCGCGTCGAACCGCGTCTCCTGAAGGCCATCGAGGACAGTAAACACGACGATGCGATCGCGATTATCGAGCATGCGAAAGCGAAGTCGCAACCCGTCGACCACCTCCTGCGCATAGGCTTGATGCGCGCAGCCGAACGCGGAAATATCTACATGACCGAATACCTGCTCAAGAGCGGCGCGAAGCCCGACGGCGCACCGGGTGGCCGAGTCTCGCCTTTGTTCAAAGCGATTGAGAAAGAGCGTGTCGACATTGTACGAATGCTGTTGAAGTTCGGCGGCAACGTCGATGCGCAAGACAAGCAGGGACGGACTGCGCTGATGACGGCTGCATGGAAGAACTACTACCACATCATGCAAGAACTGCTCAGGTATGGTGCCGACGTCAACAAGAAGGACAACACTGGGCGGAACATATTACACAACTTGGCGGCAGACAAGCACTGCAACTGGGGACGCGATGTCATCGCGGAGCTGTTGAAGCAGAATATCGCGATCGACGGACCAGAGGGCCAGGATGACCAGAAGCGCAGCCCGTTGCATTGGGCTGCTAGTACCGGCAAGAAGGAGCTATGCGAGATGCTCTTGCGTCGAACGAGATTGCCGAGAGCGAATGTGAACGCGGTGGAAGTCAGGCAGAAGACGGCACTACACCTGGCAGTCGCACACGGGCGAGACGACATCATTGAGCTTTTACTAGTCAACGGGGCAGACGTAGGCGCGCAGAGCGACGGAAGCTGGACGCCCCTTCACAATGCTTGCGACCAAGGCAGTGTAAAGGTGCTGAAGATACTCATGGCTGCCGGAGCGGACGTCAACGCGCGAACACTCAATGGGACCACACCTTTACACGTCGCAGCGCAAGCTGGTCACTTTGACGTAGTCAAGTGTCTCTTGGAAAGGGCAGACATCAAACGAGCGCCAAAGGATACATTTGGTATCACGCCGTTCTTGCGCGCTGCGCAGAGCAAGAAACCGGCGCGCAAAGACATCATCAATGCCCTGGCACCCCACAACCAGGTCGAAGCGCTCAGCGAAGACGCCCTTGGCGCCACCAACGGGTTTCATGCTACGATCGTTGACTTTGGCAACTTCCACAACGAGAACAAGGTGTCAAGAAGGACTGTCTTTGAGCTGCTATATGGCCGCGATCCTATCAACCCAAGAAAGCCAGCTGTTGCGATTCTACCCAAGGAGTCAAAGGCGACAACCTTCCGATGGATACATCTCCCTGCCAATAACATGGCCTGGGTTGAGGCGCTGCTCACGAAGGCCTTCATCGAAGAGGGTGCCAGTGATGTGGAGGGCTTCAAGGCGCTCGAACGATCCTTTAGTCATCAGCATCGAGGTCAGCAGATTCATTCGCATTTCATGCGACCGCTGTGTCAAAGCACACCACGTGCACCAAAACAGCACGATGACTCCGACCTTTCCGACGGCGCTGATTTCATCCCCCAGATCCTGGTGAATAGCGGTATGGGCTTAGGTATCGATGCGGTAGCTGGTTCACAAGAACCGCCAACGTCGCAATTTCCTCGCACGCCTGTTCGGACCAGTACCGTGGATACAGACTATACGGATGGGACTGCAGGAACGGGCTCCGGACCTACGACTGTTAAGGAAGGAAAGGGTAAGGCGAAGGATAAATCGAAGAAGCAACCGAAGTGGAGTGGATCGAGACAAGCAGGCAAGCGATCAGGTGGGACGGACACACCAACCCGAGGTCCAGAACACCAGGCGAAACGAACACATACTAGCTCCTCTCTTAACAACAGTGGCTATCTCAGGTCACCCGGCAGTCCGGGGAGAAAAGACCCAACATCCGTAGCGAAGGGCAACATCTTTTCCTTCATGCCATACCTACATTTCGAGACCGATCGGCGGCGGCAAGAAATGCAAGCTGCGATCTCGAGGACGCAGAAGATGAAAGAGCGAGAGAAGAACGAGGGTGGCACTTCTAAGCCACAGTATTACCGTGCATCAACCTATGACGAGATGCTGTTCAGGGCTCACTTGACATCCTCACAAGTATCGCTGCACGTGCGACGCACGCTCGACCAGTTCTTCTATCACAATATCGACACGCAATCCCGAGATCGAGACCAAGTTGTCTATCGATACCAATGCAAGTCGAACGAGCCGCAACATGTTGACCCGAAGATCTTCATGGTCGATCAGCTGTGGATGTGGACGCTGGGCAAAGACTTGATCGTGACAGCCTTCCCTCAAAGGTGGCAGCAGCCTCGCAACGACCCGCTCAACGTCCTCGATGGAGTCATTGAAGACATCAATAGCAAGACAAGAGACCCCGTGCGTAGCGTGTACGATCTCGCCATGATCATCACCGGTCGGTGTAGTGGCGTGTTCGACAGACATCGCGTTGGCGACGAAGACTATCAGTTTCTCGATATGTTCGAATCAAGCATCGGTGATGCCACTGAGATGGAAACCATGCTTTTCAAAGAGTTCAACACAGCGTCCGCCCAGGCCTCGGCTTGGCTACAACATCACCGTCGACCCAATCGCTTTTCGCGACATTTGGAGGCTGAGGGAAGGCAAAGAGAGCACCTGAATCGCCGGCACACATCGCATCATTCACACTCTCACTCTCACGCGTTGACTGACCCTCCAGTGCCGGAAGAGGCATTTGACTACGGTGACAGCGATCGAACGGCCGCCCATGCCCCGCTCTTTGTCGATAAACTACTAGACATCGGCGCTGAGACAGATCTGCTGGCTGAGACGAAAGACATTCGCGACGAACTCAACATGATCTCAAAGGTGCTAGAAGATCAGCGCAACGTACTGCCGGACATGGAGACGAGCATCATAGACATATATCGGGAGGAGCACAAGAGCCAACAGGATCTCAAGAAGCGATTCAAGGACATGACGAAGACCGTAGAAACACATATCAAGGATCTCGAACGCATGGACAGGCAAGCCAAGCGCATCTACGAATCCATCACCGACCTACTCGATCTAAAGCAGAAGCACGCCAACGCATTCGAGGCACGCTTCGCCCGCGACCAAGCTGCCGGTACTGCCAGACAAAGCCAGACCATCATGGTGTTTACCATTGTCACAATCATCTTCCTCCCTCTATCCTTCATCGCAGCCATGTTCACAATCAACATCCAAGAATTTCCGCATCGGCCCGGTAGCGACGAGCCTTCGCTTCCCCTGTCATTCGTCAGCAAGTACATGTTCGGCATCGGCTTCGCTATCTCCATCCCGTTCATCGCCATCGCGCTCTCATTCGACGCCATCGGAGACTTCTTCCGCGAAGTCAAGCGCCGCTTCCGCGAGCGCAAGGCTCAGAACCGCCAGAGCCGGCATGATTTCAACGACGCTTATAGCGGTATCGAGAAGACAGACTTCGAGTACCCCTTCGATACGCGCACTATCGAACAGGCTTTGAGTCGCGGGCGTAGTACGGCATACCGCCCCGACGGCAGGCGCAGCATCGAAAGCTATCTCGGCAGTGCGAGAGCGAATCACTGGGGTGATGGTGGCTCGTTGCTTCCGGTTGCTAGCCGCAGTACGGGAAGGAGTCCCGAGAAGGGTGCTGTGAAGATCACGAATGGCTTGAATGGCACGACTGCGATGGCCAACCGATTGAGTGTGGATAGGGCTGAGAGGCAGAGTCCGATTGAGAGGATTAGTACTGGGTTTAGGATGAGGGCAAGCGGGGATTTTGAACGCAAGTAGATGGGGCGGTGTTGGGAAGGTTGGGAAAATGCAGATACCCTAGCGCTGTTATGTACCGTCGCTGATGAATGACTAAAGACACGTTACGTTTTACGTTTTGTTCGCTGATGTGGTGTCTTTTGTTCAACGCGGTTCGGCTACCATGGTACTGTAATGTTACATTGACGACTGCCGAAACGCATATAGTACTCGTAGGAAAGAATCATCGAGAGATTGGGTAGGGTCGCAGGGTCCAGAAAGTCACGCTGTCAGTGGTCAGAACACAGTAAAAGTTTCTTTGGGGTAGGTGCGCCTGTCAGTCGAGTTTGCTCTGCACACCATGGCCCCTTCCAATTTTCTTCGCTCGGGATTATCTCCCGGCTCTTCCCATTGCAACTTTAACCCTCTCAGTATACCTTACATTAGACTGCTACGGTACCCCAGCATGTCTACAACCAGCCCGGCCACCGGCGATGTAGTCGCTACACTTCCTGATGGGAACTCATTCCAATCAGCCCAGCACGCGACCATTCCCCATCCCATCGGCTGCGAATGCAGTAACTCGCATAATGTGCTCGATACAAGCGCCCCAGCGCAGCTGGCTTCTGGCAAAGAGACGACTGGAACCCATATTGCTACCAACAATGTGCCTGGAGATAGCAAGAAGCGCCAGAACGAGTGAGTGTATGCTCCCAGGGTTGTTAGAACCCATCAGCTAATAAATCCCAGAGCAAATCAAGAAGAACAAGAAGCCGCCAACAAGTAGGTACTGTCATACCAACGCCGGCACCGCAAAGTCGCTGACCAAACATAGGCGACGGAATCTAAACGACTCGACATCAGAACTGTCTGACCAACGGACCGTAGCACGGACCCGACGCGATGGAAAGCTTGCGGAGGCGATCGAGAAAGGCCGGCTCACATGTCTTCAACTTTGCGCAGAGCTGCACACCAACCTACCTCGAGAACTGCGAGACATGGTGTATAGCGAGATCATCGGCCCTTACTACCGCGAGATCGTCACCGGACACAGGGACTGGAGAAAAGACGTCATTCAAAGCACAAAAATGGATTTCGTCAACCAAGGGATACGAGGCCTCAAGCCAACTGAACAGCGCGGTCTGAAATGGTGGCTCGACAGCTATATGGGCCGCGCCGTAGCCACCGAGATAATCGAGGCCTGGTACCGCGGTTAGTAATATCCATGTACGAACTGTATGTGAGACAAGTACTGACTTCGTAAACTCATCTTTAGGTCGAACCTTCTGGTTCAGTCACCGCCGGTTGAACCTGATCCCCGATTTCTTGGAACGCGACGTCTTCTCCAAAGGCCTCAAACCAGGTCTTATCGTCCAGCACATGCACGTTCACGTGGGCGAATACCAAACCAAGACTGGTTACTTCGATGAGCTAAGAGATACACTCGGCAAAATCAAGAACAAGGATGTCAACTTGCACATACGTCTTCACAACAGGACTAGCATGTCGGCTCGACGGCTGCAACTAGAGAGGCTGGGTCCTGTCGTTTACCAGCTAAGAAGGGAGGGGCTGAGTCGCATTACTGTACAGAGTGCGGGTGGTTGCAAGGACTTCACGTCGTTGTTTGACGTGGAAGAAGAGCTGTTCATGGTTTGCCTGGTATGTTGCTGAAAGATTCGGTTTTATGTCTTCTAATAATATAGTAGGAACTTTGGGCGTTAACGGCAAATCCCAACATCTGAACAATCGCTGGGCTCGTGTACATTGCGCGCTGTATGTACTCGGAGAGGGTATAAGGGTCTCTATTGGAGAATTATTAGGCAGGCAGAACTTTGAGTAGCCTTATAGAATGGAAGCTATGCATAATTTTGTAACTTGTACGACTACCTTATATAAGAGAAAAACTAAACATAATCTACAGACTATATAGATATAAGTGTATGCAAGGTAGGTATATTAATGTTAATGTAGACTCTAGGGTGTTTACCTTTTCCCTAGGTTAACGTGCAACTTCTAAGCTGTCTAGTCCTGTAATTACACAGCCTCGTACTAAGAATAAGCATAGATTTAATTTGTTTGCACCGTGCACTGCATGAATAAAATCAAATATTTCCACGCCAATCCCATGGGTATAGTGCTCCAACGGCGATGTGCCAAGATCCAAAAGGTAAAGAGAAAATTAAGAATATGTACAATGGAGAATATACAGACGCAAGTGGCGTCCATCGCTACTTGGCATGGGTATCGAAGCGCGTGCGACGCCGGTGAAAGGAATCGCGATACACAGGTATGACAATTAAGTGCAGCCGTCCTGTGCAGAATGAAGTGCATTCGATTGGCATGGAGGCTTTCTTTCATCAACCTTTTTTTGCCCAGTCGTTTGCATGCGACATGGAAACAGAGGAGCGATTCGATCCTCGCGACGGCGTGCGGAATAGAGTACTTGTTGGTGAAAGCGCACCCTCCTTCCCGCTGTTGAAGGCATTGAACAAGTCGACTAGCTTGTCGTAATCATACAACATGGGTCCTTCGACGGAGTCTTTTTCGTCGAGGGAGCCCTCTATGCTGCCCAAAAACATCTTAGTCACTTCATTTCGCCATGAGCAGTGGTCGATAATATCTCGCAGGTTGTTGTCCGCGCACAAGCGGTCATCCAGCGTTTGCAAACGCGCTTTTTCGGAAGCTCCTTCGCCGAATCGGATGAATTGAATGCTGAAGTGTCGCTTGCCAGTATTTCGTTGGTCTCGCCTGGCGATATTCAAAATGGTGTTGTTCAGAGCACCTGGGTTCGTCTTCGACCATACGCCGTCGGTCAGGACGAGAAGTGTTGTAGCTGGCTGACCGGTACGGCTCCATTCGTCGAAGATAGTATCGAGGACTTTTGCCATGTCTGTAGTGGCGTGATCGTTCGGCTTATACTCTGGCCAAGCTGCGCTCAACGCTTTCTTTAGTTTTGTTCGACCCAAGTCTGCCTTCAAACACTTCTCGTTATGTGTATAACCATCGACTGTGAACTTGACATCGAAGCCACTCTTGTCTAGACCAGCGGCGTTCTTAGCGAGCGTTTGCGCTACGAACGTCACGATGGGCCAGTGCTTAGCCATTGTCCATCCATTGTCGACAATGAAAATCTGGAATGCATTAGCCAAACCCAGAAATATCGGGAGTAAGCTTACGATTTCGCGCGGATCACTGAAGGTCTCCACAAGACTAGCAGCTCGAGCTCTGGTTTCGATGCCAAATCTGCCCTTGAATTTGGCGATACCTTTTGCAATCCCCCTGGAGACCTGGTGGTCTATATTCTTCCTTGTAACGCAAATATCATAGGGCAAGTCTAGAGCAGACAGTGGAAGTGGCCATGGGGAGTCATCGTGAGACTTAGAGAACCTCTGAGTGCGAAGAGCTTGCTCCTGGTGAGTATGTGTGATCGAGTCGGATGACGCTGATTGCTGCTGTGGCGACTGATCGTACCCGGGCTGCGATACTGTTATCAAGGGCCCGGAGTTTCCAGCAGCCTCGACTATATTGGCAGTATCGACGTTCAGTTCGTATCTATACTTGCCGTCAAAAGGAGAGTCTTTAGGACTCATATCAGCTACAACGGGGACCTTCTCTCTATGACTCTGGTTATCCACCGGATTGTGCATTGGGGGCACATTAGCGGCTTCGATGTCACGCTCAATGGCGATGTAAACGGGTGTTGGTGGGGGAGACTGTGTCGAGTACGTCTCTTTCTCAGCCGAGAGGTCGGGGGTTTGCACCGCATAATGTTTATCTGCAGGTGGAGACAGCAAGCTCGAGATACCACTTGATTGCTTGAGGCTAATGGGATACTTCGTGGATGACGAGCCTGCCTCTGGAATTCGCAAGTGAAGTCTTGTCGAGTTGGCACTGGTGGAAGGATCGACCTCGAATGAATTGCGATGTGATTGAATCGTGAAGGGATCGTCGCTGTGAGGCCCGCTGCCAGAACTGGTTTTGTTACGGCGATGTGACGATGATGGTGGCGTAGCAGGATGGTGGTTTTTCAGAAACGAACGTGCGCCATCCGGCGTGTGAGGGCCTGTCTCTGCTGGTCCTTGATCATGTGGTTGGACCCTCGGATTCCTGGGCTTACTCTGGCGACCACGATACTGTAGTCGCTCTGGAAGAGTCGCATCAGTGGGGCTTTCTGTAACATCACCATTATGTACAGCATCCACAAGTGGCGGCTCGTCGTCCGCATATTTGTTCTCACAGAATTCCAGCTTCTTCTCCAGTATTTGCTTGCGATGCGCTGTTTGACCAAGCGGTTTGTTTCTGATCATCTCTTCCTTGTTCATCTGCATTGAGGCCCGCGCCCGAGGGTTGATTTGTAAGAAGGACGGCTGTAAGAAGTTGGTCTTTGGTTCAGAGGTTCTCTGGACCTGAGCTTCTTTTTCGATGCTCGAGAGGGCCCTCATGACTAGAGGATCTGTATCTCTCGAGTGTATCCTGAGACCTTTGATCTTATATTCGGCCCAATCGCTCAACTCTTGCAGCTTCTCGCAGAGCTCTTCCAGAGTGTGTCGTGCCACAGGTTCTGCTCGTAGTAGCTTGTTTTCTATCAAAGCCAGAACCATCTCTGTCGTTGTATCTGAGGGCCGGAGGTGTCCGCGAAGATAATCGTGCCATTTTCCAACCTCTGGCAGAACATGATATCCATCGTGAAACCGGTCCAACTCCTGGCCGTTCTTGTTATTCGCTGGAGATAGTTGTCGAAGTCGATCGTATTGACGAAGACCTTGGAATCCCAGAACTATCCACGTCGCGGCGACCGATAATACGCAACCAAATGACCATGCGTCAATAGACTGCGAGACTCCAGACATTGTACCGTCCGGATGCTTCATGCGGGACACTTCAGGTGCACCTGTGCAGGGTCAGCAATGCTGGCAATCCGCTCGCTGCCATGCGCACCGACCATACGTATCGGTAAAACCTAAAGTATCGACGTATGAAGTCAGTCTATGTCTCACACGTAGTTCGTACAAAAGAATTACCTCTGATCAATTCTGTTGGCACAGAGTCCTCGTGACCATCTACCACAGGCGCAAAGCTGGAGAAGCCGAAGTCAGCCAGCTTCAATCGTCCGCGCACGCTGAGAATGTTGTCCGGCTTGATATCTGCGTGCCAGCTTATGCAGGTCAGCCATGGAATTTTACATATCTAGAGGTTCATACCCATGAAATCTCCTTGGTTGGCCTTTGCCTCGCAGGATCTCGAGATGATGAACGTGGCGAATGGCTTCAGCAACTTTGAAAAGCGACTTCCATGTCTGGAGTATCTCCTGGGCTTGTACGGGAGGAACGTTCGTCTCATCTGCCCATGCCTGGTACAGATCGTTTTCACCATATTCCAACAAGAGATTGTATGTCTTTCCCATACCCTTGCCCTCGCCATAGTCATGGGTGTATGAGCCCAGGTATTGTAGTATGGGAACTTCGTCGCTCGACTGCAGCAAACCCGAGAATGCTTCCTTTTCCAGCTCGAAGTCTCGCTTCTTGTTGCCGCAGTAGGATTTGAGCACCATCTGGTAGCACTAGAGGGGGTTAGCTTACGCTGCTAGTGAGTTTTCAGGAAGCTGACCTCTCCAAATTCTTCATCCGTATAGAGTGAGTCTTGTAAGGCAAGTGCGAGCGCGTTGTCCGAGACGAGATCCTTTTGCACCGCCACCCAGTATACTGACGCAGTGCCTCCCTTGCTGGGAAGCTTGATTTTCGAACAGAAAGGAAGGATAACTTTCGTTCCCTGTAAGTTCACAGCCATGTCCAAAGTCAAATTCAAGGGACAATATTCCCATTTGCCTTTGTGGAAGTCTTCGATGATCGCCTCTACTTCTCCATGATGTACCACACCGGCTAACTGTTCGCGAAGGTTCTGATCGTTCTCGCTACGCGCAAGATAGTCGTCGTACATGTTCGCTTCGCAGAAACGGTCGATAAGGTGATCGCGCCCTTGTTTGAGGAGCAGGCTGAGGATGCGCAGACAGGATTGACCAGGCGAGGAGATTTTTGTGGGCTTAACAGGCAAGCTCAGATGAGATGGAAGTGACGATTCATGTAAGAAACGCTCCAATTTTGTAAGGGCGCTTTCGGAGACTCGTTTCTTCCACCATGCTTGGAGGGCGTGAACGTGTACGATTTTGCGCTGGCAGCTACAAGACTTATCCAGATCGCATTCGTTCTGACACGCAACTCGACGTGTCCATTGTGACTCTAACAAATCTTCGAATTCCTCTCTGATGGGTAGAGAGGTAGGCTGTTGCGGGTATGCGCCTGACATTGTGACGTGGTTCCAACCAAGTATCAGGCTGCGAAGGCCTTGTGGGGGGAATGCATGACACGACACTGAAATGCCGCTAGGTGGTATCGCTTTCGTGCAGTATGACCTTCGGAGTAGGGTTCAGGTGGATTGCGCAAGGCATGCGCGCAGTGAGGCCTGGAAGGGATGAGACGCGACGCGACGAGACGAGACAAGAAGCAGTAAATGAGGGTGGCAGAGCCTCAGTAGCGCGAGCGGGGCTCATATTAACCATGGCAGATTGTTCTCAGCCTCGTGCAGCCGACTACAGGGCCAGGTTGAGGTTGCGCCAATAGGTGCATGGAGGACGATTGTGGCTGCAGCGAGCTGATGTTCAGGCAACAAGGCTGAATTTCTGCTCAGCGGCTCGCACATTATTGCATTGGCTGTACGTTTGATCATCTAGCAGTAAATAGCGAAGATCACATTGCGATATGCGATGGCTTGGAAGTTGCGCGATGGTAGATGCAAGATGCGAGATGGAGAATAAAAGATCTTGGTGTTGTATGAAAGTCAGTTGCAGCGGCGAACGCCAGTTCGCTAAGCCCCACCGACCCGCCTTCCGTGTGTACCTCGACGGACCCGCCGCAACCGAATGTCAGCTTATGACACTGCAATCTGACACATAATGCGCCAAACTATGATGGATGCCCCACGTTCATGATCCGTAGGCTTACGTTGAGGACTGCCACACAAGAAGATGTGGAAATATTTACTGGCGATCTTACCTCGAGCCTAGCCTCGGCGACCGTCATCCAGCTTTGGCTTCACTGCCTTCATATTGAGGAAGGACAGTACGATCCTTCCCGAACTTCTGTGCGTTTAAAGCAAAGCGAGAGATCGATGCAGTCAAGCGCTTCGCTGGTCCCTCAATGGTTACGCTTGGGGTATTAGAGCCATCGTTTGGTGGCATCTGTGCAGAAGAGTCTGCTTCTGGAGATGGAGGTGCCGTATACAACATTGCGCGCTTCAAGCGCTCGGTGACAGTCAGATCCCTTGCCGATATGCTGTAGAAGCGATATGTAGACCATGCACCAAAGAGCGTCAGAGCAGTCAGTGGTATCGTGACCTGAAGCCATCGCTCTAGGGCGAGGTTGGAGAACGAGCCATTCTCGTAATTCGCGGAGTTCTGATTCTGGTCCTGGAACTTGATAATGTCGGTGCTGAAGAATGTCTACTATGTTTTAGAGACCGGGTTTGAAAGACGATCATGGACTTACTGAGACAAATGTAGCCGGAAGGTAGATCAAGGTCAAGATTGTAATGATACGCATGACGACAGTCTCTCTTTCGAGATTCTTGTTGAGCTGTTCCGTTCGATCCGAGACTTGGGTTTGCAGATGCTGTAATACCAGCTGTTTCCTGTCGCTGATGATGTTTACCAGAAGCTTTGCTCTGGCTATTTGCATATCGAACTCGGCAGTGATCTCGTCGAGCTGCGAAAGGAAGTCGGATAACTGGTCTTCACACGATGTTTTCAACGTGTCAGGGAAATCCTTGTGCGCCATCAGGTTCGAGTAAAACCTGCGTAGAGTTGTTAAGATCTCAGCGTTCGCGTGAAGGACCATGACCGCTTCGTTAGTTTTATCTTGCCAATATTGCAGGTCTTGAATATCCCATGCTTCGTATTGTTGATATGCAAAGCCAGGGCCACGTGGTCCGTTGACTGCCATTCCGCTCTGTAGGATTTGACGTCAGCGTGAAGATGTGTACTGAAGGACGTACTGACCTCTTTCTCTACCACCCTTTCAAGCCAGACGATGTACCATCTCCAGTCCTCCGTTGACCACTGACAGTACAGCAGATGTGTCATAAGCGTTAACTCGAAACATGATGTTGTATCAGTGTACATGTTGTGACCTGGCCGGCCAGCTGACCTAGTGAGTTCTGCGTAGCGGTCGCGTAAGTCTTTGCCGCCCTTGGTAACAATCCACAGGGTGGTCCCATATTCTACGTCAAACCGATGGTAGATCGCAGCATCTCGGATTGACCATTCATCAAGTCTCATGTCCTCGTTGCTCTCCTTCTTGAGTTGCACACTTTTCAAGTTGTAGCAAAGCTGGTAGTGTTTACCACTTCGGCACAACTCGGGTGCTGAGTGTACATTGCGGGGGCCTTTTAGACGTACTTGCTCATGAAATCCACTGAAGCGAGGGTCTTTGGCGTCACTTTGCCCACCGAAAACCAGCATGAAGTCCAAGTATGCGGGCATGACTTGATGGTAGGAAAGAATGTGACAAAGGCTCTCTCGGGTTGTCTTCAACTGCGCTCGCGAGTGTTCACCATGAAAGTAGCTAGGATGTTAGCATATCAAACCCATCAGAAGCTCAAGAGAACGTACATGAATCGACATCTTGGGTCCCTCTTTCGAGCGACAACATGCTGTACGTTGGGGTCGTCTGGGTCTTGTACAACATCTACAGCAAGCCATTCCAAGACTTTCGAGTGTGAATGCAAGTATATCTTATCCCGTACTGCGTGAGTTAGTTGTATGTATTTTATAGCAGGATTTTGATGTTATCTACCATCTCTATCAGCCGTGCCGATATCAATCACTGGTATTTCGAAGAGCCTGCCAACCTGGCTGTCCAGAAGGCAGAAGTCAGTCCCAACCCCATCGAGACGCTTTCTGTAAGACACCAGCTTTGATTTGTTTGAGAGAAGATCAGTAGGGATGAGATTTTCTGGATAATTGCTGCTCTTGAGGTAGGATTTCTGCAGCTCGACAGGTATTTGGTACGTCATCTCGAAGGCTTGAACTAGCACACATTGAAAAGTTGTCGCTTAGTGCGAAGGAACGTAGTAGACAGAACATATTTATGGGATCCGCATGGATAGAACAATGCCACGAAAGGCTGACACTGGCTGATTTGGCAGCGGCTGTGTGGGTTTCAGGAGGTGCGAAGCGCTAGCGACCCGTGCACGTCAGCGGTCCCCGCCACTGCCCATGTGCGTCCTCACCGGGAACCTCAAAACGGAATATGGCATGAGAGTCTAGATTTAACCTCTGCCTCGAAAACTGTGTATTTCTAACAACTATAGTTCTCGTCGGCACCCATGAGGCTTAATTTTGCCCCTCTTCTGGTTCTGGAGAAACTGAAGGTCGTCTCGTGGCCTTTGGCGCATCTCTCCTGTTCCTCAGCTCCCTTCGGTCGCCCTAAAATTGCTCAGCCACTTCCAAAACGCACGGGAGGCAAAAGCAAGGAGAACTCACATCCGTCAACTTTTCGGGCACTTCAAAAACCCATTTGTCGTGGAACTGCGCAAACGATCAGGCTGAAATACTGTAAAATGAAGACGCGACGTACCCTCTTCCGCTTAAAGTCCCAGTCAGGCCATTTGCCTCTAAGATATTCTTCGATCTCCTCCCATGGAAAGTCGTCGTATGCTGTATACGTGTCTTGGATACGTTCGCCTCTGCTTGCCGATGGAAGGGTAGGTCTGCGCTGAGCTTTACGCGCCTGTTCCAATGCTGCATCGGCTGGTCGACGGCGGCCAAAGGGCGCCATCGAGGCAGATAATAGCTGTGATGAACTCGGGCGCAATGGGCACGCAATGCCCGCAGTGTAAGTCGTGCTTCTTGAAGTCCGACGGTAGGCTGACTATTGTCGTAATGGGTCTCCTGCGCTGCTGTTCCTGGATCAGGCGCAGAAGAGAAGGCTGAGGACACAACTATATACGTTTCCATATGAGCGGCCTCAGCCTCATGACCCCATCTTGAACCAATCTGGGGAGATACAGGTCGTCACATCGAGGTGGGCATCAAAGTATGTCCTGCATTACAGATGCGGGTTCTTCAAAAGTCGGCAAATCGTGGAGCTTTACGTGTCGATGTGACTGCAATGCTGCTAGGCAGCTACGCACCTGAGAGTTTGGGTCGAGTTGCCCAGCTTGCCTGCTTTTGCCTGCTTTGCCTGGTGTGTCGCACAGCTGTGCTATTGGCCAGGCGCTTCAGCCACACCATATGCATGTGCATCACGCTGCATGCGTGCTCTTCGCAGAGGATAGTTCGAGGTCTCGATGCTCGGGCAGAGCCGCATCGTGTGACGAGCAGCATGCTGCTCGAAAGCGTCTCTGTCTACGTTCCTAGACGGTGCGGCAATTCACACCTGTGAAATGCCATTTCTCGTTATAGCATACGCGCTGACGTGACAGGCGTGCAGCTGTGAAGACATCATGCGTAACAGCGAACGTGAAGCACTCAGCGTCGCTCAGCCCGCTCTTCTAAACAAACCGTTGAAAGCCAGCAGAACACACCATAAGGAGTTCCACTTGAGGACTACGGGCGAAAGAATCGCGCAGCTAAGAAACCTGCCTGACAGCAAGCTTGCAACTTCGCGAGGACCGTTCACGACGGCAATAATTACCTGCGCCTGAGCCAGCGCTTACGCCTACACTTGCGCGGGCTCCACAGCATATGGATCCAACTCGACTTGCACCTCCAGTATCTGGTACAGACGGAGGAGGCAACGGCGGTGCTGCAAGTCAGAAGACCTTGACCGCAGAACAGAAGAATCAATGCCCATACGGCGACACACGCTGGCCTCCTGCTAACATATCGATATCCAAGCCTCTACACTTGTTGAGCGACGAGAGTGAGGAGCCGATATACTACCACTTGATACACGAAAACAACAGCCCTCAAGTCGAGTTCTGGAAGGGCCCGGTGAAGGCTCAAGCCACTGCCGCCTACGCAGAGAAGGGCCTTGCTTTGCCAATATCGAAAGTAGGAAAGAGTAAGAAAGAGATTAAAGCTGCAAAAGAGAGAGCGCTTGAAGATGAAGCGCCGAGAGCGAAGACGGAAATTGAGCAGGCTAGGAATACGAAGATGCTGAAAGAGCTGAGCAGTGGACCGAGGGGAACACTCTGGCAGCTTGACGAAGAGCACCTACACGTTTGGAGATGTATCGAGGTGGTGCAGAAGGTGCATGGGGCGGTGAGCCTTAGTGCCGAGCGGCGGGAAATATTTTCGATGTTCGGTGTTGGCCTCAAGCGCATCGATGGTGATATGTTGATGGTTAGCCAGAAGGCGTAGGCACCTAGCTAACCCAGAGGGATCGTTTGTAGTATGGTCAATGCACACAACGCTCACCCCCGATAATTGAGTTCTACGCAAAACCTTCGTGTGCCTGCGCTCCAGTAGAAATATCAGGTGCTGACAAACGTGAAACGTGAGGCTGGCGATGGAGTTATGGATCGAAAGCCGAGGCTAGCTCGCGGATGTGGTCATAGCGCCTTCTCGATGATTCCAATCGTCGAGCGACCCAAATTTTTAGAGGCATCGAACATCTGCGACCACTCTTCTCCGCATCCTCCTCTACATCCACATTATTCCTGGTTATCTTGCATAAAGCTGGAGTCTAGGAGCAACATCTGAGATTCCTTTTTCTCTACCTACACATCCCAATTCCGTCACAATGCAAAGAGCTTTCGCATCGCGGGCGCGGACTTCGGCCCTCAACTCGAGCTCTAAGCTCCGGTCCACCAGCTACAACCTCCAGCAGCAGAGGTTTGCGCACAAGGTACGGCAATTGCATATCTACTTGGTTGAAAAAAGACGCAAAACTAACAATTGGTAGGAACTGAAGTTCGGCGTCGAGGCACGAGCTGGACTGCTGAAGGGTGTCGACACACTTGCAAAGGCCGTATCAACAACACTGGGTCCCAAGGGTCGCAATGTATTGATCGAGTCGAGCTACGGTTCGCCCAAGATCACCAAGGGTATGCACGATTTCCGTCACCATCCTTAACATTGCCCGCTGACATCATTCCAGATGGTGTGACAGTCGCAAAGGCTATTTCCCTCCAAGACAAGTTCGAGAACCTCGGAGCCCGCCTGCTCCAGGACGTCGCCTCCAAGACCAACGAGGCTGCCGGTGACGGTACCACCACTGCCACCGTCCTTGCCCGCGCCATCTTCTCCGAGACCGTTAAGAACGTTGCCGCCGGATGCAACCCCATGGATCTCAGGCGGGGTACCCAGGCCGCTGTCGAGGCCGTCGTTGAGTACCTCAGGGCGAACAAGCGGGACATCACCACCAGCGAGGAGATTGCGCAGGTTGCCACCATCTCCGCCAACGGCGACACACACATTGGCAAGCTTCTGTCCAACGCCATGGAGAAGGTCGGAAAGGAGGGTGTCATCACCGTCAAGGAGGGCAAGACCACCGAGGACGAGCTTGAGGTTACCGAGGGTATGAAGTTCGACCGCGGTTACATCTCCCCTTACTTCATCACCGACACCAAGACTGCCAAGGTTGAGTTTGAGAAGCCTCTCATCCTCCTCTCTGAGAAGAAGATCTCCGCTGTCCAGGACATCGTCCCCGCTCTCGAGGCCTCCCAGCAGCTCCGCCGCCCCCTTGTCATCATTGCTGAGGACATTGACGGTGAGGCGCTTGCCGTCTGCATTCTGAACAAGCTCCGTGGTCAGCTCCAGGTTGCTGCCGTCAAGGCTCCCGGCTTCGGTGACAACCGCAAGTCCATCCTTGGCGATCTCGCTGTCCTGACCAACGGTACTGTCTTCAGCGACGACCTCGACATCAAGCTCGAGAAGGCCACTCCCGACATGCTCGGTTCCACCGGATCCATCACCATCACCAAGGAGGACACCGTCATCCTTAACGGCGAGGGCAGCAAGGACCAGGTTTCCCAGCGCTGTGAGCAGATCCGTGGCGTCATCAACGACGCTACCACTTCCGAGTACGAGAAGGAGAAGCTCCAGGAGCGCCTGGCCAAGCTCTCTGGCGGTGTTGCCGTCATCAAGGTCGGTGGCTCTTCCGAGGTTGAGGTCGGTGAGAAGAAGGACCGCATCGTCGATGCTTTGAACGCTACCCGTGCCGCCGTTGAGGAGGGTATCCTGCCCGGTGGTGGTACTGGTCTCCTCAAGGCCTCTGCCAACGCTCTCGGTAACGTCAAGGCTGCCAACTTCGACCAGCAGCTCGGTATCACCATCGTCAAGAACGCCATTACCCACCCTGCCCGCAAGATCGTCGAGAACGCTGGCGCCGAGGGCTCCGTCATTGTTGGCAAGCTCATCGACGAGTACAAGGGTGACTTCAACAAGGGTTTCAACAGCGCCAAGGGCGAGTACGTCGACATGATCGCTGCCGGTATCCTTGACCCCTTCAAAGTTGTCCGCACTGCTCTCGTTGACGCCAGCGGTGTTGCCTCGCTCCTTGGAACTACCGAGGTCGCCATTGTCGAGGCACCCGAGGAGAAGTCTGGACCTCCAGGCGGCATGCCTGGCGGTATGGGTGGTATGGGAGGCATGGGCGGAATGGGCTTCTAAACAAGTGAAGTCTAGCCGTCTGTTTTCTTCTTCTTATACCCCCATTCCGTTATAATGACTTTAGTCTTATGCCTTTCCCAGCGATGATTTATGTACACGATATTGGGTTGGTCTCCGCTCTTCACTCATGATTTCTCAAAAGCGCAGCATTGTTGGATATTTGGTTTTTATTGTACAATATTGTGTAAGGATCTCCTGGGAAGGACAAGATGTATAAAGCGACGAAGGAAATATGAACAAGTTCAAACGAGTTTTCGAGATGCACAACATATGCTTGAGTTATGAATGCTGCAAGGAACAGGATTGGTGGATCACCTCATACACGAAAAAAACTGAACACCTGCCTCCTAGAAGTCTACATTACCTTGAAGAATATGTGAACTTCAACCCTTATACTAACGTGGACGGCGGAGTACCTGTCCAGCCTGTTCCTTGTATGAGGTGGGATGCTGTGACGACTGACAGGGCGTTGCTGTGGCGGCAGAGCCAAACTAAACCTTGTAACGTGTCTGGTATCGTGCCGTGCTCCAGGGCTTGAAGGAACCCCACTAGGGTACGTGCATCGAGAAAACCCCACCCCACCTGCCACTACTCGCTCAGCCTCAGCAATCACTCTCTCCTCCTCCGCCTTTTCTCCCGCAAACACATCAACTATCCACCCAGATCAGTTTTCTCTATTGACGTAAGCTGCCACCGCTCCATGGCCGAACAGGCTGCCATTCCTTCACTGCTGCATCTTCGCACGCGGCAATCGCAACGATGACGACGACGCTGACAGGCAACCACAGTACTGATAAAGCTACCTGGCGCCTCGACCCCCCTCTAGCATCCTCTACTTTACACATCCGACATTATGGTGAGAACATTTGAGATGCGTTATTGAGGAACTCGAACTAACAACGGATACAGGCTCAATCCGGGTACGTACTGCAAAACAAACAACAGGGCATCAACAGCTGTCGCTGCCCGACGACCGCGCCCGCATAGCACCCCCTGCCTCCGCCACCACCCCGATACCCGCCTCGCGCACCCCTCTATCGCCCCCGCACGTACTAACCACGACGCAGTGTCTCCGTCTCGCCCGAGTGCATCAGCACCTTCAACGAGCTCAAGCTTGGCAAGGACATCAAATGGATTATCTACAAGATCAGCGACGACTGGAAAGAGATTGTCGTTGAGGAGACTTCCAAGGAGGCCAACTTTGACGTCTTCCGCGAGAAG